TCTCTCTCTCTCTCTCTCTCTCTCTCTCTCTCTCTTTCTCTCTCTCTTCTGTTCAGGTGATGTTTGGCTGCTTTCTTATTTCGGCTCCTCACTTCGAACACATCGCTAGCAGAATTATTGCGCCAATTAAATGACCAGCGCTCAATTAAGTGCAGGCAAATCTGCGAGTGTCTGTACGCGTCCTCTTCGCCTCTCTCCTCTTCGTTGCTCATCTCTTCACCCTCTTTTGCAGTCAGTTTGCTGCAGTCGAGTTTGAGTGAGAGTTTTGTTTGCCCAACGTGCGACTGATTAGATTTAATGTCTTCATGAAGTGCAGCAACATTGGCTGTTGCTAATGGTAATGGGGATGTTGATGTTGTGCCACTGCACTGCACTTTTATGGCTGGTTCCATTTTGGTCTCTTGCCTGATCTGACTGCCGATCACAGAGAGCAAACATGTAAAAAGGGGAACGACAACTTGTACGACACTGCGAGAGCTCTTTAATGTCCTCACCTTTTTTCCTTCAAGTTCAGTATCAATGAACTCTCGTGTCCTGAGGACCAGTGGACGGCGACACTTTGCGACGGCCATCATCGGAGGTTGTTCATCATCATCATCATCGACTCTCACTACTGCTGTTGTCGCTACTTTCCGGTGTCATTGCCGCGCTAATCGGAGATCAGGCAGATTGCTTCTGCTATTGTTCTCCTAGTGTGTGTCCACTTTGCGGTCAGTTTGTCTGTCTGCACTTGCCAGTCTGCTGAGCACAATCGAAGACAATTGAAGCCAGCACGGTCAGACAGACTAGACCTAGGCGGCTGACCCCTTCAGGCACTTGAGGAGAGTGGCAGCCCCACTTCTCTCTCTCCTTGGTGAATCGAGTGAATAGAAGAGTCTAGACACGGGTAGACCACCACCGGTGAGTGTGTGTCGGTGGCTGTGTTACTTAACCTGCCATTGGGAACCTGCCATACTGCCTTCATATCCCCGGCCCACACACACTCGCAGACACTACCGTTTTGTGCTGACGGCACTGCTGACCACTACTGCCCGGTGCTGACCACACTACTGCTGCTCGGCTTAACTCGATTGTTGTTGTCTCTTCTTCTTCTTTTTCTTCTTCTGTTTCTTTTATCGCCGTCTGCCGCTTGCCTACCTGTTTGCAGTTTGCATGGCTGCTCCCGGGTTCGGTGTCTTTTGCCCTTTCTGTTTCTGTGTTTTCGTCTGCTTACCTGGCGCATCTTATCTCTCTCTCTCTCTCTCGCCCTCTACTGCGCGCGCGGTCCACTCTAGTTTACCTTAGTTTTGCCATTGTTTTCCACTCCACTTTGGTGGTATTAACCTTTACCTACCTTTGCTTTTTTTGCTTGCTGTGAAAAAAAGTTTCATCCATCCAGAAGAGTTGCCAGTCTCGAGTGTCCTCTCCTCTCCAAGGCTCCTCTGTTTATCTGTGTGCAGTGTGCAGTGCATTCTTGTCAACATGGACACACAAACACTTGCCTACACGAATTTTTACTTTGGTTTTTTGTCCATTTCACTTTAGTTGCCCACACACAGCACCTGTTTAGAGTACAGTTCAAGTTCGAGTGCTTGTTCGCCTGCAAGTGTGTGTGTGTGTTTGTTTGTCCCACCAAACAACAAGTTACTCGTTCCATTTACATTCCTTGTGTACACTCATGTTTATCAGTTCACTCAGTCAGTGCCTCACTCGGTCCTCACTGATGTTCATCGCATTAGCGGTAAAGAGTTTGGTTAGTAATAGTAATAGAAGTAGTAGTGGTCATTGTTTTCTCCCTAGTTATTGTTGTTGGGATTGTTGTTCGGCACTTGCATTCCTTTGACAGTGATCACTTGACCTGAGCTACAGTTAAAGCGCTTAAATTGATGTGGCCGAAAAAAGGATGGAGAAGTGTGAGTCGCTTTCTGGAGCAGTCAATGCCGCTGCTCTTTGACGGCAACGACCCATCTGTTCTGCCGTGGTAGTAGTGACGGCAGCAATAATACTTGGTGGTAAACGAGTGGTTCACCACTCGACGCCCGGCCTGCTTCTTCAGCCTTTGCAGTTTTTTTTTCTCTCTCTCTCTCTCTCTCTCTTCTAATGATCTTCTGGGCGCAATTATCACAGACATAGATGGTTGCACTCGGCGATGAACTCTCTTTCTCGCCTGTTTGTTTCTGGTGGCACTATAGGCACTATACTCAAACACTTCCAAACACATTGAGCAGCAGTGAAGTGGTGGCAGCTTTCTTTCTTTCCTTTCTTTGCGCGTCAACAGCAGCCATCAGCAGCGGCACCCCTCAGGCCCCGTTGACCCTGGTGTGCTGCCTGTGTTTTGCAAAGGTAGCCGGAGAGAGATGTCCTATCAGGGAGGCTTATCTTGTTGCCCACACCAGCAGCCCATTCTTCAGTGCAGTGTTGTGTGCTCACCAGGCTCACCTTGCAGTGCACTGCAGAGTGGACGTGACAATGAAGGCAACCGGTGGTAGTGGTGGTGTCTCCTGCTCGGCGTTTAATTGTCTTGTTTTTTGTCACATCATTTATTATTTCGTTTGCCAACTTGCCTTGTCAATCTGTCTCTGTTATCTTTATCTTTCTCTCTTCGCGCACCTTCCACTTCTGCTGTCGCTGCCTTTCCTTTGAGCGCATTGTGAGCATTTGCATTGGCGCTCAATCTCTCGTCTGTCTTCAGTACTGTCACTCTTTGTACACCGGTGCCCATCACCAGGCACTGTCATCAGCACCATCTGAGCACCGGCAATGCCAGTGCCCCCGTGTGTATCTATGTGAACATTTTCCCATTTCCTCCAATTGGCTGCCGCCTGTCTCTGTTTGCTTGCCTGCCAACTTTCTCGTTTAGGCCACTCCAATTAGGAACAACTTAATTTTTATTGTCTCTTGCAAGGTGAACTTTAATCAGAGAATCCTGCCAGGTTCTTCTTTCTCCCTCTCCCTCTCCCTCTCCTTCATCTGTCCACGTCCATTAAGGCTAATTGAAAGGCACTTCAGGGCACACCTAGCAAGTGTTGAACTGTCTCCTCTTTCTCTTTCTGCTGTCATCTTTCCTGGCGTTGGGTTGCCAGCGCCTAGTGCTCTGCTGAATGGGTAATGGCGTGCACGCAGAGGGTTCCACAGTTGACAGTTTCAGTACTTCTTCTTCTTCTTCTTCACCTCCTTCACAGCAGCAGAGAATCCTTTGGCGTGTTGTGTGTTGCACCTCGAATGAACAATAATTAATTTGGCCCCTTTGCCCGGGGCCAAGTGGCAGCATCAGCGGTGGTTGGCAGTGTGTAGTGGTTGGTTCAGTCTCTCTCTGCAAGTCTTCTTTTGGAGTTTGTCTTTCTTCTTGTCGTGCAGCACCATCAACGACAGAGGCAGCGGCAGCTCATTATCGTATTTAGCCCTCGTCTCGCGTCTGGTCCACTGCACTGTCTTCTTCTTCTGTCACTTTGGCTGATGATTAATTGTGCTGTGACATGCAAATGGCTCCAATCTCTGTGCACTCTCCTTTGCCTTACATAAACAAGGCTGCTGCTGCAAAAGATATGACCATGTGATAAGTTCATTTGGGAGCCGTGCAAATGATTTCCAATTTGAAAAATCGCAGCTAGGCGACAGGATCTTGACGTTTCTTTTCACTTCGTGCACTTGCGTTCGCGCGTTTCACCTCAAAATGGGACTATCTTGTGAACGGAAATTAATTACTAACCTGCAGAGAGACTAAAAGAGAAAGATGTCCCCTCGACAGACTGCAGAAAACAGAGAGATGATGGATGGCCATGGCGACATTGGCCGCACCACTCGCCACCTTCACCCTAAAACTGCTCTCACTTTGTTCTTACTCTCGTCTTCTCTTTCCCTTCAACTTTTCCTTCTTCTTTTGCAGTTCTCCTCCCGCACATTGGCAGTGCCACCTTTTCCACANGGCCATGGCGACATTGGCCGCACCACTCGCCACCTTCACCCTAAAACTGCTCTCACTTTGTTCTTACTCTCTCGTCTTTTTCTCTTTCCCTTCAACTTTTCCTTCTTCTTTTGCAGTTCTCCTCCCGCACATTGGCAGTGCCACCTTTTCCACGCGAGAGGCGATGATTCGCCTGGCAGTGGACAATCTCCACGCTGGCCTCGACGGAAGACCTCTGCCGGCTGCTGTCGCCTAACCCGATAACTGCTGCTGCTGCTGCTTTAACTTCAACTACCACTACGTTTGCTATCATTGCTGATACTACTCACCTTCAGAGCTGCTGCTGTTGTTGTTGGCGGTGTTGCACTCGCGTCAATGGCCACAGGCACCACCACCACCACCACCACCACCACCACCACCACCATTATCATCATCAGCAGAAGGAGCAGCACTACTACCACGTGTCCAGCTTTGCTCAATGTAAATGACTCAATTTGTAAGGCAGTAAATTCAATCAGTTTTTAAAGTTATGAATTGAATCAGCTAGCGTTGCAGTTGCTGCTGGCGGGCCAGCAAAATCAGTCTGCTGCTCTTCCTGTTTGACGGTGTGTGCTTAGTCCTACCTTGGTACTAATGTCAGTCTATTTGCTCTCTGCATGGGCCTGCTGTGTCTGGTCCTGTTGCTGCTGCTGCTACGGGTGCAACGTATAATTTGGCACAGTGCTCATCAGGCTCATCATGATCACTTGGGTCGTGTTCCTCCTCACCGTTCCTCGTCTTTTTCACCTTCTTTTTTTCCTAGTCACACTCCCCATGTACAAATGTGTCCTCTCTCTCACTTTCTTTCTCCTTTCCCCTATGCAATGTGGATATTAATTTTGCTACGTGACTAGACACGATCGACGCGACAGCCTGAGCAGGACAATTAGCAGGACAAACGATGGCAATCGAAGTGCTGCTGATGGTGCTGGTGGTGCTGGTTCTGTTGACGTACTTGCTGCTTCTGCTGCTGTCGCTGATTAGCACTTTCCATCGGTGCTGGCTTCGGTGCGCACCTTCGCACGCCCACTTAATGAAGTCAATTATGGTCGTTTGCAGAGTGAAACACACTGTCTCAGTACGTACTTGGACTGATTTTATGTGCATATGTCCTGCCAAATGACAGGCAGGAAAGAGAGCGAGAGGGGACACAGGGACGAGCGTTTCGTCGTTGACCCAGCATTTGACGCTCTCTTTACTCCTGGTCCGGTCGCAGTGACACTTTGCCTCCTTCCCCTCCCTCCCTCCTTCTTTTGAGATTACTGCCAAAAGAGGTGAGCATTATTTGGCTGAGGTGTATTGTGTGGTAGTGTAGGGTAGTCATGCCTACCAGTGAGCCACCATGAGGGCCCAGCAGCAGTGTGTGCACAAAGA